TCTTGGAAATAACCAAAGACGGGATTTGCACAATAACACCAATTGTCCTTTGTGCAATTCCTTTTTGATTTTCTCCTTACGACCGCAATAGCTTGACTCATCCTTCTCTCGTGACTTGCTCGAGCCTTTGGTTGGCAACATCTTCCTTGCATTCTCATCGTCGTTAAGACCTCGACTCGCATGACTTTCTCTCGGAGGATTTAAAAGTGAGTCCATGAAATAAACTTGCTCCGTCCTATTCCCGTTTCCGCCATCATCTCCTGCACTCAAAGATGCTTTCCCATTGTCCAAGATCGAAACATCAAACTTTTCATTATTTGTAAAATCCATAAGCTCAATAGCAAAACAATCATTATTATCACATGGATTTTTATTAACACTAAAAACATTGAATTTGATTGTTTGATCATGCACAGTCATTGTAAGATCACCACTAGCACAATCAATGAGAGTTTTCGACGTGGCTAAAAACGGTCTCCCTACGATAAGAGGTATTTCCCTATCCTCATCTATATCAAGTATAACGAAATCAACAGGGAAGATAAATTTATTAACTTTCACTAGCACATTCTCTAAAATACCTTTTGGGTAAACTAAAGATCTATCGGCTAATTGAAGAGTTATAGCCGTCGGTTCAATTTCTCCTAACCCAAGATTTTTAAAAGTAGAGTACGGCATAAGATTAATGCTAGCGCCTAAATCAATGAGCGATCTAAAATTTTTACCTCCTATAGTACAAGGAATAGTAAACTTACCTGGATCGCCGAGTTTTTGTGGAAGAGGCCGAGTAAGAATTGCACTAATTTGCTCCGTGAGTAGGATCATCTCGTTCCCTTGCAATTTCTTACTTTTCTTCACGAGGTCCTTGAGGAACTTCACCCACTTTGGCATCTTTTGAAGTGCTTCAATGAAAGGAATATTTATGCGAATTTCCTTCAACTTGTCCAAAAATCTTTGATATTCAACATCGAGCTTCTTCTTTACAAATTTTTGAGGATAAGGAATTGGAGGGACTTGTGAAGGCACCGTTGATGGTGGATCTTCATGAGTTGATTCGTTTTCCTCATTCACTTTCGGCTTTTCGATTACCGTGTTTCTCTTCTCTTTTTGTGGGGCTTCCTCCAATTTCTTGCCATTCTTCAAGGTGACTGCTTGGCACGTCTCGACCTCGATCTTTTTCGTTAGCAATCTTTGTGGATATGGGATTGGTTCGACCCATTCGGCTACAGTGACTTGCGGCTTGACTTGAATTTCTTTCTTTTTCTCGATTTTGAAATCGATAGCTTGGCACGTCTCGAACTTTTGCTTTCGAGGATCTTCCGTATTCGATGGCAATGCTCCTTGCGGACGGTTCTCTTGATTCAAAGCTAATTGAGCGAGTTGATTCTCCAAATTTCGCAACGAGGCTTGGGTAGCGGTAATGAATTGGGCCAATATCTCATCCGTGTTTGATTTTTGGGCCGGTGGATTGTTGCCTTGATAGCTTTGTTGAGGAGGGGCTTGATTTTGGAATTGACCTTGAGGTCTTTGATATCCTTGGCCTTGTTGATTTCCTCCATATTGCCCTTGTGATCTCCACCCTTGATTTTGGAATTGGCGAGGCGCGTTGTTGACGTAGTTGAGCGACTCCACATCTTGTTGGCATTGGAGTGTGTAATGATTTCCCCCGCAAATTTCACAACATGGAGACTCAACGGCTTGAACTTGTTGTGGTGGATTTGCTTTGATGTGTTGTAGAAGGAGTTGATTTTGTTGAGCAATTTGGGTCACTTGAGCTTGAAGGGCCGTAATTGCATCTAACTCCAACACTCCGGGAACTTTCTTGGCTCCACTCACCGTCCTTTCGCTTGACTTGGCGAACCGATTTTGAGCTATTTGATCCAACATGATAAACGCATCGGGTATTGATTGACTCATAAAATTACCTCCGGTTGATGCATCTAAGACGGTTCGTGCATTCTCGTTAATCCCTTGGTAAAAGATGTGGATTTGCCGCCATTGTTCGACTCCATGTGTTGGACATTGCCGCAAAAGAGTTTTAAATCTCTCCCATGCCTCGTATAATTGCTCGCCTTGCTCTTGGACAAAATTATGAATTTCTCGTCGGATTCTCTCGTCCTTCTCGGGTGAGCTATAGACTTTCATGAAAAGGTTGAGGAGTTGAGGCCACGACGAGATAGAGTGGGGGGCTTGGGACATCAACCACTGGCGAGCTCTTCCTTGTAGGGAGTGCTTGAAGAGAATTAATTGAAGCGCCTCTTGGGAAACGCCGTTTTGACGGTGGGAATTACAGGTATCTAGAAAATTGACAATGTGAAGATGGGGATCTTCACCTGCCAACCCACTAAATAGCCCGTTATTTTGGAGCATTGTCAAAAGGCCTTGCTTGATCTCAAAATTGTGCGCCTCAATAGGTGGATATTGGATGCTCGGGCGGAATCCGTCATGAGTCGGGATTATGTAATCTTGAAGTGCCCGTGGCCTAACTGCTGGTTGTACTGGAAGTTGAGGGGGTGGGTCTTGGACTTGGTTTCCGTTGGCATTGATTAAATTACCCTCTGCGCGTATGCGTTCTTCGTCCTCCATTGTATTGGTTGCGTGTTGACGTCTCCTAGCGGCTCGAAAAGTGCGTTCGATTTCGGGATCAAACGGTTCTCTAGCAAGATCTAGTCTCCTAGGCATACACCGTACCTAAAACAAAAATAAAATAAAACAAAAATTAAATGGGTGAATCGTGAAAATTGTTCAAATTTAGAGCTAGAATAAAATAAATAATTAAAATATTCCCCGGCAACGGCGCCAAAAACTTGTTGGTCGAAAACCTACACGCAAGTGCACGTATCGTACAAGTAATATAGTGGACTAAAAGTCCGGATATCGAACCCACAGGGAATATTTAATTATCTAATCCTAGACGCTAAATTCTACCAATTATTATCAAGCCCACCCTACACAGTCGACTTTAGAGAGAATTAACTAAAATAAATTAAAAAGCAAATTAAAACGACAAAGCAAGAAAGCAAATTAAACACGAAGATTTATCAGAGTAAACGAGCCTAAGATTTTATTCTTCCCCCTATGTGATTATTATTCGCCCAATTCCTTCAATTATGCGAGCAATTAACCCGAATTATTAACCTGAGATGCTAAAATAATCATAACCCGCTTCCGCGTGTATTACGATTCTAATACTCTAGATTCAATTACTATATTCCTATGCAATTAATTCTAGAACACAGCATTAAGCACAAATCTCAATAATGGCTACCTAAGAGATTAACTATATTCCTATGTTAATACCACAAAGGCTCTTCTACCACAGTTCTAATTATTAACCCGATCTTCCGATTCATGCGATTAACAATAACATAAAAGCGCATAAAGTGGCCAGTTTCATGAACTTAATAAAACAAGTAGAAGAAATAATCCGGAATTAAAACTTGCATAAAATCATAGAATTGGGTTCATAAATCCCACATAGGGTTCCAAATAAAATCCTAGATATAAGAAATTTAGCTACTCATGATTAAAGGAAAAACACAAATAAAATAAGTCATAAACAATAAATCTATGCTTAGAGTCTTCGAATTCTTCGTCTTCGTTATTGCTTTGTTGCTCTCCAAATTGCGTAAAAAGATCCCTATTTGTGTGCTTGGATTGGTCTTATATAGGGTGAAGAACTTGGGGAAGAAGGCAGTTTCCTTGTGCAATTAAAATCCCTTTACTGCGCAACTTCGGGGTATGGGACGGGGGTCCCATAATTTGCACTAAAACTGGGACGGGGGTCCGAGCCTTGTTTCTTCAGAATTTTGATATTTTCACTTTTGACCCATATTTTCGCCAAAATTGCAGTTTTGACCCCATACTTTTCCAATTCTTCAATTTGTACCTAAAATACAATAAATCAACTTTTTAAGCACCAATTATCATTAAAACACACCAAAAGCCCAAATAAAAAGGTACGATAAAGTGTAAAAATATACACTTAACAGTAAGCAATATCATCAGGTCGGTAACGATTTTCAATAATTAGCAAAGTCAAGTTGGTCTAATCGGATAGGTATATATATATATATAGTTGACTTATAATTATCCAATTCGATCCATGTCCAACCATAAATACTATGATATCATCATGTATTGAAAATGCATGCAATACAATTACCGTACCAACGTGATACCAATACTTTGATTTCTTCTGATCATATGTATTCGGTTGATATACTATTTTAATCACGATAGTTCATAATCTTTTTCACTGCGTAAATCCATTCAAATATTAGATCAACTAATCCACATTGAAGAGCACACAAAATGCACCCGCCAAAAAAAAAAGGAGGGAAAAAAGATCCGCACGCAAGATGCAAAGTTGCAAAGAGAGTGGCCAAAAAACTAAGGGCGTATATGTCATTTTACATCTTCAGCTCAGAGTTACTTACGGTTCCCAACTTAACAAATTTCTCTTCCCAAATTGATGAAATTCGCTTCCACCTTAGACGAAATTTTCTTCCAAATTCGACAAAATCTGTTCTTTATTCTTCGTAATCATTGTAATGTGGGGTTACAAAAGGTTACATGACAATTAAAGCCTTAAAAGACGAATCAAATTACCTTCCCAAATTTACTCAAATCCAACAAGAATTAAACCGGAAATACACATTTGGCGCAAAGTGCCATCAAGTTGTATATTTCAAAGGGGGACAATCT